TCCTCTCCTCTCCTCTCCTCTCCTCTCCTCTCCTCTCCTCTCCTCTCCTTTTTCTGTTAGCATTTGTTTCCTGTTCATCAAATTACATTTAGGAGTGACCTGATATATTTTTTCCAGCTTATATTATGAGGGTGGCAGAGAGAAATCCTTGCAGGGAGTATACTATGTAGTTATTGCAGTTTATATTCCTGCTTTTAAGATATATTTACTCCTTTGTGATTTTTCTTGCGTTTTTGTTTAGTTCCCTGAAAGGGTGTTGTTCTTCCATGGAATGTGGTTTTTTTTTTGTTTTTCTCCAAGCTGTAAATACATATACAGGTAATACTATGTAAACCTTTGAGTCAGCTGCTTCCACTTCTCATGTGTTCTAGACAATTTCAGAAAATTATTACTAAGACTTATAAGCTCAGAAATAAAATCTTCTTGACTGTTTTTTGAAATGGAAATGAAAAGTTTTAACATATGTAATAAATATATATGTTAAAATCCCAGAGGTAACAGACAAGTAGAAATTTTACAGGGTTGTTATAGACACAATGACATCTGTTTTTTATTGCAATTAATGAGTCCTAATATGGTGTGCCATTTTGTGTTATGTAACCATTTATTATTAATCTCCATCTCCTGTTACAAATCAATTCTCAATGCTTTTTTTTTCCTTCTCATCACTCTTGAGATACTACGTAGCTATATATTTATGCCTATTGCAATCACACTAAAGATATTCTGCTGTATTAGGAATTTTTAAGTACTTGGAGATAGATTCTGCATTCTTCATGAAGTAACTCTTGTCCTAATCATTACCAGGAATTGAACCTGGAACTACCAGAGCTAGAGGATAGTTTGAGAATTTGAGCTCAAAAAGGCTAAATCTTCTGGCTAGCAGTTGCAGGAGAGTCATGCTTTTTGTGGCTCTGGCAGAAGATGCAACTTGGAGAGGGAATTATGCTTGTGCAACTCCAAACTGCCAGAGAAATCCAGGGGAATTTGAGGGTTTGCAGGGAATGTAAAATTGGTCTCTTCCAGGAGCTTCCCAGTAAGCATGAAAGGGTTTTGTGTGTGTGTGTGTACATGTGTGTGATGGATAGTGAGAAATTCTAACATTTGACATTGCTAAGTGCATTCTGCAGCTTTTCATTAGTGATGGTGGAGTCCTTCAGTGAATCCCTTCAGGAGTAACCATTTGGCAGTTCTTAAACCCTTGTCTGTATATCATGTAAAGCTCAGAGTTACCACTCTAAAGGAAGACCTTGAAAAGTTAAATGCCATTGGAATTTAGTAATGTAGGCCACACTGTAAACTGTGGTTAAGTTGAGCTGAGGCCTGCTTCAGAGAAGAACCTGTATTTGATTAAACCCTGCCTCTAGCTAGATAAAAATGAGTTTGAAGTAGATTAATATAAAAACAGTTAAAAGCTTCCTCGTTGTTGTCAGTTTCCAAAATGAAACTTGTCAAGAGTTTGGCAGAAAGAGTTCAAAGGCAGACCTTATTCTGAGCTGAGAAAAACAAATCCAAGAAGCAAATAGCAATATGGATGGATCTTCTCATGTTTGGTTTAAGTGAATTTTCTCAGTGTATGCTGTGGCTTTATGGCCTTCATTTCTACTTGCCAAGCCATTTTTTCTCCAGACTACAGCCCTTCAAGAGTTGCGTCTCATAATTTTGTCTAGCACAGAAATATCTTCTGTACTGCTTGGCCTATCTTCTCATGACCTTCATGAATCTTCTCTGACATTTACTGTGCATAATTATTATAACATAAACCAAGGGCAAAACTCGAAAGATAGTTTTGGACTCAGTGAGAAACTGTCTGAGAGAGAATTGAAGTGGAGACAGCACAGTGGGGTTTTTGTTAGAATTTTTGCTAGAATCTACTTCCATCTGTAACATTGGGTGGCACGTGACCACTGTGTAACACACACTTTGGCATGTTGTAGACACTTGCACATCTTGGTGACAAGATTGTGCAACATTTTTTGCTATTGATTTGAACATAAATTCTGTGGTCCCAATGATGAGTAAAAAATGGGACTCATAGATCAAGTCCTACAAATGCTACCAAGTGATTATCAAAACCAATGTCATTCTGGAAAGTTTGGGCTTTGACACCCTTAATACTTTTTTCCCATATCCTTTTGTATATACAACTAGGTCACGTTAGTGACCACAGGCATGAGTATCCATTCCATTACACTGGTTTTATGCCAGAGTAACCATGCTGGTTTTCACTGTATAAAAAGACTGATGAGATGTGGTGAAAAATTGATCCCATACATATTCCAATCTCTGAGTGACTTAATATTTGTTGCTAAAACATTTAAAACCTTTAAAAACAACATTTCCACCAGTCACATTACAGATTTAGAGTTTGCTGTCTCATGGCTTGCCAGAACTAGCAGCAAATGCTGGGAAACAAGCATTTCTTTAATCATGGCAAATCATGGGGTCTTTAATTCTCAAATTTGACGGTCATCTAGGAAGGACAGCTAGTGCTTTGTATATTGACCTCATTGTTGAGGTCTTTTTCTTCCGATCTCTATTTTAGGCTAAAATAGTCATTTTTGTAGATGTAGGGTATTTGTTCCTTCTAGATGGCAGCAGTTTGAAATCAGTGGCAAACTTGAAATACTATAGATTAAGAGATAAATTAATGGAGAGTTTGAGAAAGGAAATGAGGCAGAAGTTAGATATTTCATGGGTCTGTAGGCTGTTTCATGACTACAGAACACTGAAGTTTGTTGTTGTTTTGTATGTGGAGCAAATATGTATTTTTTCATAAGTACATGTATACAAACACATAGTTCCTCTAATTTGCTAATTATTAACTTACTGCTCTTCTTAAACTGTAAAGGAAGACGTGTGGTTTCTTTAAATTTCTTAGGATATCAGGCTAGTTACTGCTTCTGTTAAAATTAGTTGCAAAGCTCCGGTTGACAGCAATAGGAGAAATCTTATTTTTGATGGTCGTAAGTTAATACACCTGACAAGCGGGACAGACTGCAGTATCAAAGGACAGCTTGCTTGCTGAGGAGGCAAGCATATGCAAAAGGAATATAAGGTCTGTACTCAAGGCTTTGTTGCCACAGATTTCCTGTATAACTCAAAACTGGTTAATATGGTTCACTTTTCAATCTGCAAACTGAGAAGAGCACTATGTCCTTAGATTGAAAAGCAGTGATAAACTCAGATAATACAGATAATCTGTAGCACATTTAGTGGCTGGGAGGGATTTCCCATATGACTCAGGCATAAGCTTAGTCTGAAACAGCTGGGTAAATAGTCCTAGTGTTTCATTTATTATTAGTTAATTAGTTCAGTTAATTAGTAACTGGCAAAGTAGCAGCTGTTGCTCCTGCTTGTTGTATAAGAGAATTGTGACCCTTGGCCTTGTGTTGTGCTCCTAAAGGTGTAGTGTTAGACAGCAAACTGATGATGCTGGAAGTCAATTATTGCCCATTTTTTTTAGATATATACTTAAACTAATGCATATTAATGAGGTACACAATTGAAATGTGATAACTTTCAGAATGAGGCACATGGAAGGCAAGGAACCTTCATTTCATTTGTAACAAAAATGAGCTAGTTAATGGCAGAGGATGCTAGTTTGGCTGACTTATAATATATTTTTCCTTGGTAATTCAATCCGAGCTCATATAAAGGTTTAGGTAAGAAATTGTGGTTGTTTTTTCTGGTGTCAGCATCCTGATTACATGAAAACAAGTCTGATAATATAAAAGTCTCAAGGTTTACATTGGTTAACAGTATTAATCTCTCCTTTTCTCCCTTCCAACATCTACTCATTTAATATGGCTGAAGAAAATAATTGGTTCATCTGTTATAGGCTTCTATCCCAAACTGATCTGGGGGAGAAAAAAGAAAATTTCCTGCCAACTAGAAATTCTGAGAAAATTTCACTCTGGAAAATACTATACAAAAAATTTTGTATTTCTGTTCCCTGGTTCCTGCAGCTTCTCAGTGAAAATGGCATTTGACAGGTAACTGACTATTAGCTTTGTATTCATTTATTGGTATAATCGGGATGTTCTTTTTTTTTTTTTTTTTTTTTTTGGCAGCATTGCTCTTAGGACTGCCTGGAAGTCTATTACAGGGCTTCCAAGCTCTTGGTTGGTATTTGCTAGTAGGTGACTGAAAAGTCTGGAACTGATGAAAATTATTGGGATTTCCATGCTCTCTTAGTGGGTACTCATAGATTTTTAAGGCTGACGTTTCCAGGACTTGGAACTTAGTGACTGAAGCCATGGAAGCTTGGTGTTTTCCCTCTTTGAGATACTCAGCAGGGCACACCTGTCTCCTGATTCCACTCCAAACTTATTTTTATTTCATGGGAGCCATAACCCACCTCCTTATCC